CTCAGAAAGATGAGGTGCTGCCGTACGTACACTTTGGAAACAGGAAGGCAGGCGGGGTGGGTTGGGGGGGCCCCAGTGTGTTATGGCACCCTGGAGCCCAGAATCCCTAGCGGCACCCCTGGCCTGGTGGCCTCTCACAGAGTAGAGATGTGTCTCCCTGGAACAGGAGAAGAACCCAAGATGTACCGCCTGTGGCAGCGCTGGGTGTCAGCATGGAGATTCATCTGGAGATGTTACGGGTGGCTTTGCACACCATATGCACCATGATGTAAAAAAAAAAAAAAAAAAAAAAAAACAGCAACAACAAAAAAACAACAAAATCAGAAGCGACTGGATGAGGCTATTCGTCAGAACTGAGATGGATGCTGTTAAAGAGCCAGGCAGTCAGCCAGCCAGGCAGGCCAGCCGGCCAGTCCCATGCCATCAGTCTGAGTGCAGTTCAGTGGATGTAGAGGCCTATCAGTGCAGGGCCAAGGCAGTATCTATCTCTTTATGGTGCTACAGCCCCTTGATCGCTCCACGGGGGCCTCGCCGCTCGGAATATGTCACTTTTGCATTATTTTTATTCTGATGCTCTTTTTCTTTTTTCTTCTTCAAAGTTCTTTTCTCCACATTATGTTGTCCGAAACGCGTCAGGTTCCTCCCTCCCAGGCAGAGAGGACTGACTAGTGTAGGACATTTCATATTAGTGTGCAATATTGTGTACGTGCCAATAGCGGCATTGTATCACGTGTATAGACTATTAAAAGACGAATAAATGTATAGGCTATGTGATCAGTAGATATATGAAAGCATGACGATGAGGTTGATGCATCTGCATTATGTTTTCCGAAATGTGAAGTCTTTCTTCTCAAGCACTTACTCAAAGTGGAAAAAAAAGTCAGACTAGTAGTGAGGTATTTTTTCCTGTCACGTTCTGTAAACCAGTAGGCTGCCTTGTCCGTCTATCAGTGCGCGTAGACTAGTTCGGGTGTTTTACGTCCCCCTACGGAGTCACCCCAGAGAAAAACCCTTTCCCTCCTCGTTCCTCCCCAAACACACACACACTCACATACACACAGTGCAGACAGTCAACAAGCTCTGTCTCCATGTCAGCCTCTCTGCAGTGGCCTACACTGAAGTTGAATAGTATCCTGGGGCTCGGGTCCAGGGGTGGCTAACACACACACACACACATACACAGTCGCTCACTGTCGAGGCCTCTTGTTGCTATCTGTTTGGGAGGCCTCTAAAGTATTTTGAATGGTGTCTAGAATGGCACAAGGCCTCCTGTCATTAGAAGCCAGGAAACTGTGTGTTTGGAGCTCGAGCGCGACCCCCCTCTCGCCTGGGACGGCTGATTGCAGGACAGGTGAACTACGATTTGACTTTGGCTTGTCTGCGGTTTCACTTTAGTTAGGTGATAGTGATCGGGCAAAGCAGACCCGAAGGACGGAGGAGTTTGTTGTTTTTACAATGAGGATCACAATCCTCTCTCATATGGTCTTCTCCTCTTCTCAACTCGGGATTCAAAGCGTAAAAAAAAGGCCCTGGCTCATTGTCCGTGCAGCAGAACTTGTTCAAATGCCCAAATACACTCGGCCAGACACACAGTCCATTCCTTCTTTTTGACCCGATCGACCTTTAGGCTTATACTGAAGTGCTAGTTAACAATCAGTATGCTCCAAGTGGTTAGTTCACCTATCAGCTTTATATAAAGCAGGCTGGTCGACAACAGCTAATGCGACTGAGCCCGGTCACAGGCCCTGTCAGAGTGCCGTGCCACCTAGGTGGTATGAAGGGGAAATACAGACTGCATGGATTGCAGCTTTAGAGGCCTCGGCTGGATAAAAGCTGCTAATGTAGTTACAGCCTGGGCCTGCCAGACATGTGGGATATCTGAGGCTAGACTGAAGCAGAATTCCCCAAAGCACACCTGGGCTCAAACGCTATCAGAAGTCCTGTTGAATGCTTGATTTAAAAAGTTGATCTGTGTTTGATTGGGCATGCCTGTGGCAGCAGAGCCAAGAAAAATGTTCCAGAAAATCCCATCTGTTCCACGCAGGACGTTTTGGCCCAGGTTTGTCTCCGAGTGTTGGTGAAAGGCCTGATGAAGCCTGGCACTGCACTGCAGGGGCTTACCGGCAGCAGCCTACCACGACCTACTGACCCGGCTGTCAGACAGATCCAGTTAGGACTTTTCTCTCTGTTTTAGAGAAGAACAAGAAATCTCTTTCCTCTCTTGAAGAGATGACTGCATGTCCTTACACTGCTGTGTGAATTACAAAGAGCCCATTTCCATTAAACACACGTACAACCCAACTATGACTATGTGCCCGGCAAAGCACATCTGAGGTCAATCTGAGTTCATCTTGAGTTCAACATGAATCTGGACTGTCTGTTGTGATACAGCACTTATTCCCCAAAGTGTTCTAGCTTTAAGCTTGATTGAATTTGGGCCTCCAGGAGGCTCATGCTACATGAAGACTGGAAATACAACACTTCCTTTTCTCTTTTTCTTTTTCTCTAATGGCTAAATATAATGAGAGCCTGAACCTGCTCAAATAGTTCACTTTGTGAAGGCCTCACTCTGTGAAACGCACACATTTTCTTAAAGATTAAAAGATGAGTCGTCTTGTTTTGTTACAGACTGTAAACGCCAGGTGCTACTGGGTCAGTTGTGTTTTTAGTGCAGAATGATTCAGTTGTGAAACATGACTCGTCCATTTTGGGTCGTAGCTGCATCTGCATTACAGAGGAGG